TACTGAAAAGGCATGTGAATGCGGTAGTCTCTGAGCATCGGTGGTTCAGTGGTAGAATGCTCGCCTGCTCGCTCGGTGCAATAGAAAAAAAAGGTTCGTTTCGGGATTACGAGCTCGGCTGTCGGTGTGTGGTTGAATCCTCGCCTGGCGTGTGTGGTTTTCTGGGAGGTTTACATATTGAATTTATACCTCACCGAATAGTTCCGTTTGATGCAAATCAGTTCATCAGTAGTTCAGTGATAATTTCTTGCTTGCGTGCTTTTTACAGGTTTGATTACCACCTGATTTCAGGCATCGAATGTTCTCTCTTACTTTTAGTAGAAGTTTTATGCTTCTTTGCTCAAGTATATTTCGATCCACACCGTTGCAGGTTCCTGTGCCAGCCGGAAGGCATTGGGGAATCATAACCTTATTCTTCAAACGACCAGTTTGACATGTCAGTTGTGGAGCCTTCGGCGTGGGTCTGCATCATAGAGCCTCTTATAGTCTCTGCAACAGGTATTTTGTAAAGATATTGTCAAAATTTGTCTAAGTTTTATGCTATGTTTATTTTGACGCTTCCTAGGTGTAAAAATTGTGTGACGAAGTTTATCTCTTTGCCTTATATGATTAGTACTAAACATTCTTGAGCCAGTACATCGCATGATTTGCAATTGCATTTTTAACTACGAAAACAGTGTGCCACTTTCATTCTCACAACGAAGAGAAATGCCCTTTGGCTCGTTAATGTTCGTTGCTTTCATTCACTGATTATGATATTTGATAGGGATATGCCCTTTGTTTCTATTTTATGGTAATTGTATTTTGTTTTATTTGACATTTATGTGCATATATTTATAAGTCTCTGATTTATGTGTGGATCGAAATGACGGAAGCGCCATGCCTCAGATTTTCTTGTGGTTTGTGTGTTGTTTTTAGGGAGTAGTGTTTTATATGTGTAAGTACGAATTACTTATGTTTGTTAAATATTTCGTTTAAAGGTTTTAGTTTGTATTATTGTGTTTTTATGTGGTTGGACTTTAGGGTTTTTTAATGAGTCTATCTCCATGGAAGAAATTAATTTTTTTGTGACAGTTATGTCTTCAAAGTGAGTACAAAAGCTTTTTTTTTTTTGAACTGAAATCATCATAATAAGTTTGGTGTGTTCTTGCCAGTTAGTAGATGTATTTATTGATACTCTTACAGGTATCTCTTTTGTTGGTATTATGCAATTGTGTGCATCGAACGCACTGTAAAACATTAAGCCTAATTTATACATAAGGTGAGGATTTTTTCCAATACATGTATCACATTTGACAAAAGAGTAGGTAATGTAATATTGTATATTTGTGTGCCAAAGGTAATTCCAGAATAGAATTTGTCTTTTAAGGAAATTAAATTGATTCTTTTATATTTGTATTTAATTTCTGAATAAATCTGAATTACATATCGAACTTCATTTTTTTATAAATTTCTCGGATTTGTTTAGCTGAGTATTTATAACATCTCTTGAAATTTTAAATTTATATGAAGTGTGTTTAAATAAGTCGGGCCAATCTGGCGTGTTTTCCCAAAAGTTCAATCTGACTCCCAAGCATAGTGGCATGCTTTAAGAATTTTAGTGGAACCCTTTATTATATACTTTCCTTTTTTATATGAAATAGATTTTTACCCCACAGGATATATTGTATTCAAAGATTTTTACATTTTCAACAAACTATTCAAGTGTAATAATACTTAAAAAAGAAATATAAAGGTATACTTCCCTATGAACAAGACATTTATTAAAAAATATCTATTTTTTAGCATTGATAAAAAATTCTGTGAGAATAGTTCTTGGCTTGTGAAACAAAGTGCAAAGGTATACACAAATGCTTATTAACTTGTTTTTGGAGTAGATATTTGACTGAGCAAACGTATGGGAGACAATAGATAACGATAATAAAAAAGCGATACATAACGATTGTAACAATTCGCTTCTATGCATATTTTCTGTTTTCAATGCATTACACTCGTCTTCAATAACGGTACTGTATGTATTTTTGATGAAAAGGTTTTTTGATAATTCAGTGCAATCTGAAAAATGTAACATTTTTTTATTTAATAGATATATTCTGAATTTGTGTAGTTTACATTAAAGACATATTTAATTAAATTAAAACTTACTTGTGAGGGTTTGAGAGTAGATTAAATTTTCAAAGAATTAGTCAGTAAATGAAATTTCATTATATATGTGTTTAAGTTGAAAACGATATAAATTATGAGCTATAATTATTAATAATTAATATAAAAGCTATAATTATTAAGGATGCAACAAAGCACATTTAAACGAGTTTTTTTGTTTTTATCATTTTGAATGTGCATTAGAATTGAATTTAGCAATGATCAAGCATTGATATCTCCCATAAGAACGCTAGCTTGTGGGTTGTTTTCTTCAGGTGAGATTGATTGATGTTGAGGGTCAACTGTTGTGGTCAGTACTCCTGTAAATGTAGTAAATGCTATATCACGTGAGGTCGCAATATTTCTCCCCGCTAGAACGTTAAATCCGGCAGGCACCCATACTTCTGTTTCCCCTTCCACGTATCTCCGTCAGTGGAGCACCGGCCAAGACGTTACTCCAAACTGTGGCGTGCTGTGGTGCTGATAAATGAAGGAGCTTATAAGTGGAGAAGATACGTGAAAGAGGAGGAAGAAAAATCGCGCGCTATCTGCGGCTCGGTTGTTAGAATACTGCTTCGGCATTAACACGGGATTGTTCGGAGAAATCACAGAGAACTACCGATCAGAGCAGCCGGCTGAGCAGCCGGCTGAGCAGCCGGCAGAGCAGCTCTCCTCCAGACAGCGGCTGAGTTCGACCTAGTTATGTAACAAGTGTAAACTCCCGCCACCATTGTCACTGAACTATATGACCTACCGGTCAGCGTGCCACTGTAGTGCTTCTGATCGGGAGATCCTAGGATTCGGGTCCCGACACTGGCAGAATTTTTGACACACGCTACACAGCTTAGTGAAATTCAGTCGCTGTCTGGAGGAGAATTATAGCGGCCGGCTGCTCTAATCGGAGGTTCTCTGTGATTTCTCCGAACAATCCTGTGTTAATGCCGGAACAGTATTCTAAAAACCTTGCCACAGATTGCGCGCGATTTTTCTTCCTCCTCTTTGATGTGTTAATGCAGAATTGTAGCGATTGGCTGCTCTGATCCGAAGTTTCCTCGGATTTCTCTGATAAACACTAGGCGAATGCCGAAGCAGTATTCTAACAAACGAGCCACAAAGCGTGCGCGATCTTTCTTTCCTCTCCTTTGTCTTACCTTTAACGTTCACTTACATTCACAATTTTTATGCACTACACTACAACACATGTCAGGAGACCAGTTGCAAGTACGTCCCGGCTGGGACGAGACAATCTCCTGGGGTACTGGTGGGAGATACCTGGTTGAGGAAAACAAGAAACTGTCGTGTATGTCGAAACCGAATTCTGCCAACCAATGGGGAAAGAACATCGCCACGTACTACGATGAAAACGTGCATTACCCTTTTGGGAAGAATGACCTTAGCAGTTGTCACCTTAATTGTTAGCTAACCAATAAATCGCGGTCAGAGTCTTTGCAGTGGCAATCCAATGCCCTGTAGGAGGAGAGTATTCCCTGCAAGTCAGCTAATCGTTGCCTCGTCTCATTTATTAGTCCCGCGTCAAGCAGTACAGTAGTTTCCAAAATATAGTTAATTATTCCCGCTCTTCAGAATAAGAGTGACTGTCAATTTCTTGTTGGTCGTCACATTATATTAATGTTCTTTTTAACAAATTTATTAATTTTTTTCGGCATTTACCTTAAGTCTTTTCGAACTTTTTGTTGCTTTTGTATATCATTTTGTCACTTGTCATTTCCAGAGACGTTCTAAAGCTGTTTTTGCATCTGTGTTATATTACCTTAGGCCTTAACCCTCAAAATGAGAAATCTGCAACATTTTTTAACGTTTTTTGGATAGTCCACCACATATTTAACGAACATATTATTTAAACTCCAACTTCGAAGCACGAGTAGTGAGTGGTGGGGAGGATCTCAAAATGGAATTTGTAAAATTAAATCGACTATTTTTGATTCTCTGGTCAATTTAATCAAGACTAAGGATTTCTATGTGTTCATAAACAACTAGCAATGTAAAATACGTACTGTCGTCCCTAAATCGTACCTTTATGTTCCATTACAGTTCAGTGCAAGGGCTTTCGAAGTTTAACTACTTATGAAGGTATTTTCAATTTTTAAATAACTACGCATAAACTGCAGAATTTTCGCACGGATCCATTCAGTATTAATGAGTCTCCATACACTTGTTAAAGTGGTGTAGTAAACAGGTAGTGCGTAATTATTATGTGTATATTTTCACACATTTAATTTGTATCATTTAGTTGCAGTTTAATTTTGAACACGAGAGAGAAGAGAGTTACGAAAAACATTGCACATTGCATTTAAATGTGAAGGGACTTTCAAGTACAGACGACGAACACTAGGGAGCATTGGCGGTGTGAATGTTTCGCTATCTGGCGAAAGTGCCGACTCCGTGTTGCGTCTTCGGGAGCAGAGAGAAAGTTACACTGAAATATCGTCGTTCGCGTGGCGCAATCTGTACGCGATACAATCAAACGAAAGGACATACTCTTCATTCCGATAGGTAGAGTCAGATTGCCTCACAATAATTACAAGTTTTTGTCTGACATTTCGCAGAGCGCTATGGCAACCTGCAACGTGTGAAATACAAAAAGACATTTTACACGTTTCGTACTAAAGACCTATAAATGAAAGTAGTTCCTAACTATGTCAGTAGAGACTGCTGGCAACGCCCTACCATAATGCCTTGTTGATTTGAATTTGCGCGATTAGAGCTGACCACCAAATTTGCGTCAGGGGCATATAGAATTAGCAGAACACTGTACCTTCTCCTCTCGACAGTAAATGAATTCGACCTAGCCGTGTAGATAATGTCGAAAATATACCACCGTCGCTATCATGGTAGAAAGGCATAGGTGAGCTAGTCTAACGCACCGATTTTTGCTCGTTCTGTGTAGTATCAGTTTGCATCACGAACCACGTGACCACAAGGGCACTTCGTTTGACAAGCCTGGTTGGACATTCGTTGCCTTGTTGCATGGAGAGTGGGTAGGGTTGAGAAACGTTTTAAAAGTGGTATTAGGTGACAATTTTCAACGATGACCAACCCAAAATAACACGATGAAAGTGTAATTGAAATCAAAGTTGCAATATTTTTTTTTTATTTTAATAACTTATAACAAAGTAGTAATTCTGGTAACTGGCTGCATTTTTTTAAAATTCCCTCTTAATATTGTGACGCAAACTGTTAAAGAATCTTGAAGCTTGAAGCTTAAAGCTTGAATATTGAAGCTCGTTTTTTGAAGTCCCCCTAGGGTCTGAAAATACTCTAGAACCTCCTGGTAAGTAATGATGTAGAGAGGACAGAAGTTTCTACCATTTTTGAAGACTCCCTAGGGCCTGAAAAAACTCTAGGATCTCCTGGTGGCAAGTGATGTTGTAGAGAGAATCGTAGTTTCCCCCAAACCATCTCAGCCGTCCAAGCAAACTGAGCACCAAAAGCATTTGGTCCAAGGCGTCTTGCACACTAATTTCAGACGTTTTTAATTCTTTGGTAGTGTTTCAACGCTGGCTCAGCAACCTTCAATCACTCCGGTTCACTTTAAGAAGCGAAACTAGGCGTAGTCTTCGTTTGACATTGTGGCGATCGATCTCTCCTTTGTTCGTGGCAGTCACAAACACGAATAAAATGGCGCCGAACGAGTTGACTTTCATATTTTCCGCCGTTGAATTCATTGGGTATTTCTCAGCGTGTCATCAGTCCATTGTGTTCCGATGAGAGAGGTTTAACTGATTGTCCCCTTTGTTACACAATGCGTTGGCTCATCGAGACGCACATCGGAAGTGAAAGGTTGTCTGTTGTTTGAGGTTATATTCCTTTGTGGCATCGCAAACGATAGGTTTAATACTTGTAACGATTGTTTCCTTCTCTGGTTCTAGGAATGAATTTAACGAAGCGTTTGGTCGTGTGGCATATTTCAGTATTTTACTCTAT